ATTAGCTGCATGCGTTTTTGCTGTTGCAGGGACGGGAGGAGCGGCAGCAGCTGTAACAAGTGCTGCACAGCCTCAGCAGCAGCACTTATCTCAACGAGAGGGGGATCCTGAACTGCTGCAAAGCAGCAGCAGCAGCAGCTGCTGCTGCTGCTGCTGCTGCGCCCTGCTGCTATGGCTTCGTTTAGCTCTGTGCTTTTGCCTTTGCACCCACAAGTTTCTTCTGTAAGTATTCTGTGTCCTCGTTCAAGTTTTAGCGTCTAGGGTTTAGGGTTTAGGGTTTAGTGTTTACGGTTTATGCGTACAGGGCGAGGAGCCTCGGCAGCCTCCTCACCTGCATTTACCTCCTGTCTCCCTGACCCCACAAACTGCACGGCGTCTGCTGCAGCAGCACAAAGAGTGGAGCCTTGCTGCTGTATTTACTGGCGGCGGCTTCTCTGTTGCAGCGACCTTTACGGAGCCAGCGGACTTTTTGTAACCCCAAACCCTAAACCCTAAACCCTAAACCCTAAGCGCTGGGCTGGAGGGGGGGGGCTCCCTGTGATTCTACAGCTGTATCTGCTGAGCCTTCATTCATAGAGGGTTTTCCTCTATGAATCGTTAGGACAAACTCTAAACCCTAAACCCTAAACCCTAAACCCTTGTTTGCCTTTGTTCAGGGCGTTGGCTCGCGCTTATGACTCGCGGGAGAAGACCATAGCAAACGGCATTTCTTTCTTGGGTCACACATACCCAGTAACAAGGTAAGGCGTACGGTTTAGGGTTTAGGGTTTAGGGTTTAGGGTTTAGGGTTTAGGTCGTACCGTTGAGGGTTTAGGGTTTAGGGTTGGTCTGACCCCTCAGGTTTGCGCCTCCCCTTATCATTTGCCGTCGCGGCACTGGGGAAGACACGGAGGGCCTCGCAGTCTTAAAGGTTAGAAAACCCTAAACCCTAAACCCTAAACCCTACTGCGGCGGAGAGCCCGACAAGGCAGTGCTGCTTGTCTCGGCTTCGCGTGTGCTGCACCAGACCGCAGCTGCAGCGGCCTTGGGCTTGCGAGGGCGCCGCACGAAGGGGAATTAGGGTTTAGGGTTTAGGGTTTGCTGTTTCCTTAGGGTTCATCGCGCATGGGCGAGGACCTGCTGCTCGTTGCGGTGTACAGACCGCCGGCGGTTTCCGCTTCGGCAGTGGCGCAGATGCGCCGCTTCTTTGTCTCTCACTGTGAGCAGCTAGCTAGCTAGCTGGCTAGCTGGCTAGCTACCATCAGGCGCACACTGCTGTACCCCGTAGCGCTAGCAGTTGTAAAGCTAGCGCTGGGCAGCCTGGCTTGTCTTTGTGCTTCTCTCTAGGGCAGCGACTGCAGACAGCTATCTATCTTTGTGTTTATCTATCAGCCTAGCTTGCTAGCTAGCTAGCTAGCCATGTGCTGCTCTAAGCGTTTGTTTGTGTGCCTCTGCAGTGGGGACACTGCCGGCGTCAAGCCCCTCTAAAGCTGTTCAACAGCTACTCGCGAGACAACGGAGAATGTAAGCAGCAGCAGCAGCTAGAGCAGCAGCAGCAGCTGCTGCTGCCGGAGCAAGCGCACGAAGCAACAAACGCATGCAACCGATGTAGAAGGCCATACACTTTTTTCGTTTTGGCGTCGGCTATCTCGCCCCAGGGGCAGCTAGCTGCATAATATGACTATCCAGGGCCCCTTGGCTAGCTAACTTGTGGGTATACAGGACCTCGGCTGGCTAGCTAGCTACAGCTATGTGGCTATGTAGGGACTCTTGGCTAGCTAGCTAGCGTGTGGGTATATAGGGCCTCTTTGGCTAGCTAGCTAGCTTGCTAAGTACTGCTGCGGCAGCTTTACTGTATGGGGAAGGCCTAGCGAATATCTCTGCTGGCAAACCCTAAACCCTAAACCCTTTACGACCTTCTACGAGTGCTGCTGCTGCTGACCCTAAATGCACAATAATAAAGTGCTGCAACGCTGCTGCAGCAGCATTTAATGAAGCAACTGGGAGCAACAAACCCTCAGACAGGCCGAGTTCTTAGTTTTGCTTCGCCGTGTTGCTGCTGCACGTACACCACGTGCTGCTTGATTTGTTTCTTGGTGCATGCAAGCCCCAATTACTTCGTGTCTATGCTGCGCCCAAACCCCAAGACACCTCAGCGCAGCAGCGCTTCTGCTGCTGCTGGAGGTGCAGCAGCAGCAGACTGCTGCTGCTGGAGGTGCAGCAGCAGCAGACTGCTGCTCTGGGCGTTGGGGGTATTTAAACGGGTATTAATAACATAGGGGTTTGCTGCGGTGTAAAAAGAGCAGCAGGCGACGCAGAGAAGCTGCTGCTGCTGCTGCGACGAGTGGTTTGAGGGTTGTAGCTGTTGCAGCAGGGATGCTGCAGCATCTGCTGCTGCAGCCGCTGCTGCTGCTGCAGCAGCTCACAGCCTGCGCCCTCTTCTTCCTGACTTTCTGCGGGTGCTGTCGGTGGGGATTGGGGTGACATCTTCAATGCGGCCGATGCGCAAGCCCGAACGAGCCAAAGCCCTGCAGCAGCAGCAGCAGCAATAGAAGCAGTAGCAGCAGGAGGGACGAGAAGCAATGGACGCAATAGACGCAGCAGGGATGGCAGCAGCAGAAAAGATAGCAGCAGCAGCAACAGCACGACACCGACAACATCAGCAACAGCAACCACACTGACAACAGCAGCAGCAACCACAAGACCGACAACAGCAGCAGCAACAACAACAAGAACAGCAGCAGCAGCAGCAGATGTGTTTACCTGAGTGCGGACTGAGCGCCGGGTCCTGGCGTCTTGCTCTTGGTTCCTCCTGTTGCTCTCACTCTGACGTGAACAGCAGTAATACCCAACTCCTTGCAGCGTGCTGCTACATCAGCAGCAGCCATCATTGCAGCATAAGGAGAAGACTCGTCTCTGTCAGCCTTTACCTTCATGCCCCCTGTCACCCTTACTAGGGT